TGCCAGGCAAGCTAACCTCTTATACAACAAATTGGAAATGGTATTATCCATTAATTTCCACCCTGTGCAGTTGAATAATGCCATTGACAGATGCTAATTTTCTTAAATTGTAGGCAGCAAATGATGCATGAATACAACAGCAAGACACTTTTTAGAGCCTCTTGATAGTCATCAGAAAGTGAATTTATATAAAGTTTGATGTAATCACTATCAACTATGGTATCATGTTAGTGCCTTCTAATGATGGTCTTAAATCCATCTGTTGTCCTCTTTTCTCTATTAACACTAATGGGGGTCTAGGCAGGAATAAAATATCCCATGTGTTTTATTAACAGACCCTCCAATTTATAACATTCATATGATTCCTTAGGACAAAACCTATGCAAATAATGACATCTAAAATCTAACCCATTATTGGATTATAAGCATTTCGCTGTATATGTATATAAGTGTTTCCCAATTTATTTTTTCCAGTGGCTTAACAAAATTTTATTTCTTGCTCAGTGTATGAATTAATGTGTGTTTGGTAGCTCTTGGTGTTTCTTATGTTTTAAGCTTGTGTTTATTGAGTATTCATTCTATATTTTCTATTTTTAGATTTTACAACAGCCCTACAAGTTTGGCCCTGTTCTACTCAGGAACCTGAGGTTTGGAGAAGTTCATGTTATAAGTGATGGAATCAGTTTGGGAGTTTAGAATACGAACTCAGAGCTCAACGTTAAAGTCAACCACGACTAGAGCAATTAATTTTTACCATTACTGGCAAGGATCTTTTTATCCTCTTACATTTGAAGAGAGTGCTAGATAAGAATATGGGCTATGGACAAATTGGTTATTGGATGTCAAAGTCTTGTCTTTTGGGTTAGGCTGTTGAGGTAACAAAGGAATTGAAGACACACCTTTGGTCTCGTTACCGAGATTGGACTTACACGAGATAGCACAAATAAAATGTACGTAATAATGTTAAATTGAGTGATTTCAGAGAAGGACGAGATGGCATGCATGCTTGTTCTCAGTGGTGTCTGCTTGCTTTACAGTACCCTGTGAGATGTAACAAAACTCCAGTATTCAAAGCGTGGCTTGGAGTGTGGGGAGAGAAAGGGCATGGCTCAGGTGTTCCTTTCTTTGTGTTCCTCAGAGCTGGATGCTGGTTCTGGATTCTGTTCAGAGTCCAGCTTCTCATTGAACCATGCCTGGTCTCACTGAGCCATACCTGCTTTCATTGAGCCAGGGTCCTAGCTTCCATGAATTTCCTGTACTGAGGCCTTACCTGGGAGCTATGCCTGCTTTTCTTCCACTCTCCCACTGGCAGAGAGAGAGCCTTTCCCAGTCGCTGTTGCTGTGACCTTGATGTTGAAATGATGATGTGATTCCTTGTGGTGCCTCTTTGCTTCCATTCCCCATCAACTCTCTCCCCTGACTCCTTGCTTTCCAACCCAGGACCTAGGAGTCCCCGACAATCACCCAGACCCTTGGGGTCCCTGACCTGCGCCGTAGGAACTACCATCTTGAGGAGTGGAGGGAATGTGCTCCTAGCTAGTTTGCCATGCAGGAATACAGAACACATTTTTTGCTAGGAATTATTAAAAGTTAATACCTGGGAGGCTGAGGCAGGAGGATCGCTTGAATCCGGGAGGTGGAGGTTGCAGTGAGCCAAGATTGCGCCATTGCACTCTAGCCTGAGTGACAGAGTGAGACCCTGTCTCAAAAACAACAACAAAAACAAACAAACAAACAAAAAAACTGTATTGCAGACCCATTTGTGCTTTACTCCAAGCCTATAGTTTGAATCACTCTGCTCCCATCTTTCCAGGTACTTTTCTCTCTAGATATATTATTTTTGTATAAATATAGAATAATCCTATCTTAATTTATAACTTGTTTTCCGCCAAGCATATGTGATGAATATTTTCCTGGGGTACATTGGGCTTTTGAGTCAGAATCCTGATTTTTGTCCATTTGGGTAGCTATATCCCCTTGCAAAGTTATGTACCTCTGTGGGTTTAAACTGGAGGTGATAATACCTATTACATACAATTATTAGGATGTTGCAGTGCCTGATATATAATAAGACCTCTATATATTTTAGCTATTATGTTATACTTATGAAGGAAATTTAAGAAAATTGTCTGTTCAGTAGTTTTCTTCCTTTTGAAACTTGATCAAGTATTGTTATAATGGTATAGTTTCACTGCATTTCAGTCAGCAAACATTTATTGAACATCTACTAAGTGCCAGGGCCTATAGCAGGTACTGGGTATACAGAAAAGAATAAACTTATTTCCTCACATCAGGGGAATTATACAGAGACAGTCTAATAGTTATGTTCTGGCTTGTATTATTATTATTATTTTATTTGTTGAGATAGGGTCTCACTCTGTCACCCAGGCCTGGAGTGCAGTGGTGCAAACTTGACACACTACAACCTCCACCTCATAGGCTCAAGCGGTCCTCCCTTCTCAGCCTCTTGAATAGCTGGGACGACACCTGGCTAATTTTTTTTTTTTTTTTGTAGAGACAGGGCCTCACTATGTTGCCCAGGTTGGTCTTGAACCCTTAGGTTCAAGGGATCCACCCACCTTGGCCTCCCAAGGTGCTGGTATTACAGGCATGAGCCACTGCACCCAGCCAAATAATTATTTTCTACTAACGGAAAAAAAGATTTGTCAAATTCTTCACTGAATAAAAGTACTTTGCCTTTAATTGTTTTTCTATTACTACATTAAATTCTCCAAGTTTTTTTTTTTTTTTAATTTACCCGCAGTTTTCTTTAAAATGAAGCATATGGAAGCAGAGCAAGATAGGAGGGAGAAAAAATGGATTCAGATTATTAGAGGTTTATATATTGTTTACAAGTGAGTCCTTCAAATACTGAGTGATTTCTGTATTAAGCCATTTATTCCAGTAATTTAATGCAGCATTCTTAAATGTAGTCTATAGTTTTCCTGCTCTTCCTCATTAATTACCTGCTTTTGGGCCTACAGGGGACCTATTTTTCAAAGCCATTCTTGGTTCAGCTTTTAGTTCACATTTCAAAATAAGGCAAGGAAAAGATTAAAATTCTAGACTTCAAATGCAACATACATCGCACAAAAAATATGTCTGAATGTTTTCAAGATGGTGATCAGAACCACAGTGGGTAATTTTGTTTGAATTTTCAATGATAGTGTTTGTTTAAATTAATTGACATTTGCTACATTTATTTGCTTGGAAAAGGTCAATCTATTATGTTGGGTTGGCAGGAAGCATGTGACAAAAATCAGTATTACGTTTTTTTTTTTAAGAAAATATAGGTTGTAGAAAGACAGTCTAAAAGAAAAATCACTGAAGTCTTGATAGCAATTTTCTCTGATGTGATGATAGGTAATTTTTCTTCCTTTGTATATATGTGCATTTTCTTCTTGTGAATGAAAAGCCCATCCCAAATAAAAAAGATATTTTCATTTTTACTACTGTTACGGCTAAATAGTTAACATTTACTGAGTGTTGTACTTACAAAATTCTCTAATCCCCTCAATAACTCTAGATAGTTGAGTCCATTGCCACCATTTTAGAGATGGAAAAACCAAATCCAAGAGAGACTAACTTTCCCACTGTTATTCAGCTGCAGAGCAGGATTTCAAAAGGAGATCTTATTTTTCTCCAGAGTCTGCGCTTTCACTCTATAGTAAAAGAGTAAAAAGGCAATGTTGGCAATTTTTTTCCTCTAAAACTAAAATGTACATTTTGAAAGCACCTGGCTTAAATAGAGCAATGGACCTCTTAACATGGACAATTGATAGGAGATGCCCCAGCTCCTGTGCTTTGACAGTGCTGGTAGTTAGCATGTGCAGTAATGGTAAACTAGTTGATATACTGCAATCATTATTAACTAGTGCAATATGCTTGTGAGATGCCTGCCTGAGGGAAGAATGAGGAACAGATGTTAACCTGTGCTGCAGGGCCACCAGCTATGCATGCTGCAATCCCTCATGATTCTGAAGAGGAATGAGGTTGGAGTCCCCACACATGTGGCCCTCAAATGAGATTCTCTGTGCGGTCTGCCATCTTTTCATTGTCTGGGGTTTTTTTTTTTTTTCGGAAGGAATGTCTACTCGTCCCTTCATCATTTAGTAAATATTTATTGAGCAGCTATTATGGTCAGTCATTGTGCTAGTATTGGGGAAAAGCAGGTGAAAATCAAACGTAGTCTCTGCTTTTACTGACCTTTATTGCTATGTGAATATTCATGCCCATCATAACAGTACTGAAGTCAAAAACCATCATTTCTTGTGTGTTAATGTTAGTCAAGTCTATGTATACCAAGGAAGTAACGTAGTGTGAATTGGTTCAGCTGTTTGACTTTTAAAAGCATATATGTCTATATTAGAGTTCAAGGTTGATGGCAATTGCTCAGTGAACCTAGACTGACATTGATGGTCCTGATTTATGCAAATGAGTATGATTATGTATCCCACAGACATAGTTGGATGGCCACCTACACTTCAGAGAAAAAGGGAGTTGGGGGAGAGGCACCAGCCTCATTTCATCTTGAAAGAATTCTGTTTCCTTTTATTGGTCATGATCTCCACTTTGTGGATTATTTTCTAATTGAGTCCTAGATCACTTTCCATGTTAGATTTTTTCAAAGAACACTTATAAATGCACACAGTTACTTCTGTGATGCTGAGAATGCTCTGTGTGCTTATATATATCCTCAACACATTCCCTTGGTATAGGCAGATGGAAAAAAAAAAAACAAACACCTCATCTTACTTTGATGAGGGTACGCTCATGCAGGAGATGATGTTGGAGGTCAGGGCCAGACCCTGCCACTGGATCTCCTGACTTAATTAGAACAAGTTTTCCCAGGTTGCTATTAATAAATGTTATTACTGGGTATGGCAGAAGTAATACAGAACAAGGTTGGCCAGGAAGAGACACCCCACCCCCACCCACATTGCAATAAAACTGCCACCGCCTGCCTGTCACTTACATTTTCTTCTCTTTAACTCCAACAGGGAGGTACCTCCTTCCAAACCCGGTGGCGGGACAGGCCTGGCCGGCCTCTGCAGAGACGTCCAACCTCGTGCGCATGCGCAGCCAGGCCCTGGGCCAGTCTGCGCCCTCGCTCACCGCCAGCCTGGTGAGTGTTCGTGGGTGCCGGTGGAGGCTGCTGCAGCTCACCATCTCCCTAAGGACAACTTAACTTAATTTAGACTTACCCACATGTGACGGTAAACACAGATTTGGCAATGTGAAATTCCTTGCTTTCAATGTGCTTGTTTCTACACCTGTACCCAGTTTGGAGGATTTCTCTCAATTTTGGCCCCATCTTATGGAAAAGTTGCAAGAATAAGAAAAATTCTTAGAATACCAGTTTATCCTTTATCTAGATTTGACTAATTAACACCTGGTCCAATTAGCCTCATAATTTCCTTTCTCTTTATGTGTATGTGTACGTATGTGTGTATGTGTACATACACACATGATTTTTTGAGCTATTTGAGAGTGCATCATCTATCACAGACTTTTGTTGTCACCGTTAGCAACTTGAGTAAATTTATGGCTGATACAGTCCAGTTATCTACTCTACCATCTATATTTCAGTTTTATCAGTTGACTCATTAATGTCCTTTACAGTATTTTCCCTCCTCCAGTGTAGGTTCCAGTGTAGGGTCATGTGTTGCATTAAATTATCCCTCTTTTTAGTCCCCTTTTATCTGGAATCTTTCTGCAGTGTTTGTCTTTTATGACATTGATATTTTTGAAGAATTTTTTTAATGGCTTATTTTTAAGGGAATATTTCTCATGTTTCTTTGTTTTCTCCTCATGGTGAGATTCAGGATTTTGCATTCCAGGTAAGAATACGACCCTGGTGTTGTCATGTCCTCTCAGGGAATGAGGCTTGGAGGCTCATCACGTCCATCTGCCCCTCTGTGTGATATTAATTTTGATCATCCAGTCATAGTGTTGCCTGAATTCTCCACTGTAGTTACCACTTTCTCTCTGCAATCTATGAGCAGCCTGGGAGGTACCTTCAAGCAATGCAAATATGCATTTCATCAAAATTTTCCCCAAGAATCCATTGGTGATTCTTGCCTGGACCTTTCTTTTCTATGTTTGAAAATGGCGATTTTTCCAACTTCACTCGCCATAAATATGTGTGTATTTGTTAGCAGCATGGACTTGCACATTTCTATTTTATCCCCAGTGTAGACCTTTATATTTAATATGATGCTTATTATAATTTCTTTTTTTTAATTTGCTGGTGGGCCTTTCTTTGTTTTGGCCTTTGGCTCAGCTGAGAAGTCTGTACAAATTACTTTTGCATGACTAGTAGGGTTATATGATATGGAAATAGATTTTAAACATTTTTTATTGATGAAGGTACAAATGATTTATAAATCTGTGTATTGTGTCTTATAATTTTATGCATTGATAATAAATTATGTTGGATGTTTGGAAATAATGCAATAATGGATAGAGATTTTGTTTAGGTCTAGCCTCTAGTCCTGCTTTTGCCGTTAGATAGCTGTGTAAACTTGGATCAGTCTGTTACTCAAATTCTGTCACCTCATTTATACCTCTTAGAAAAGAAAAATCAGGAAATTCCAGCGAAGAAAGGGACTTTATAGATTGTTTAATGCCTCTTATTGATGTTTGCAGAGGTGCGTTGTACAGTAGGACATTCCTCATGCTGATGATCCTCTACCCCATTGCCCCTGTCTTAGAGCTGTAAGCCATCCTTCTCCCAACTCTGCTGGACAGGTATCATGGCACACCTTTGCTTTTGTTCTTTGTTTGTGCCGATTATCTCTCTGCTAGACTGCAAACCCCTCGAGGGCAGATTCTTGTCTGATTTTTACTTTCTAGTTTTCACTGCACTCAGCACAATGCCTTGCACATAGAAGGCATTCAATAAATAATGTCGAAGGAACAAGTAATTATTTATGGAAAAATGACAGATTCCTTTAGTTGCAAGGTGAGCAGGATGGTGTGATTCTTCATGCTATAATGGGTGGCCTAATAAGGTCATCCCTCTAAAATCTCTACGGCTTTGCTGGTCAGTGTGCATCTTACGATTGTGATTAGCCTTAAAGTCCATGTTACAGGCTAAATCCCGTTTAGTTTAACATCGGCCACTCAAAAAATATGGTGACAAAATTCGTGAAGAGGTTATTAGTATCTACTTTCAAGGAAATTTCATTAGTCTGCTTTTAAGCAATCATGTAGTCACATTTGTTTACATATTTTGTGGATTCATTGAGTAAGTTGAAGTGATATGTGTGTTCAAGTGTGGGGGAATTGGAAAAACAAGGAACCAAATTGGGTTATGTCCAGATGATAGCATTACACTTGATATAACAATTCTACGCCCAATTACAACAACATACGTTTCAGAAAAGTATAGACCCTCAACATGAGAGGTATTAATACGTTAGTAAGATATAAATGAAGGCCCTGAGGTTTGGTAGGTATGAATTTTAGTAAATGCATGACCTTTAGTGATTTAAATGCCGTAGGCAAGATTGAAGGTATTGCTAACTACCTTCTCAAGGAGGAGATTAATTCCTAGCCTGAAGTATCTAGTTTTCCTTGGCAATGCTAAATGTAGTTGTGTTCCCTCTCCCAGACACATTGGGCATTTCAGATAAATGGCATGTTGCCAATTCATCCTAAGTAGCCTGGTAGCTGGCAGAATACATGCTCAGCCAGTGTCTGCCTGCTGGGACACCAGCCGGGAGTGCTGATGAAGTGTCAGATGTATACTTCATATACATTAATCTGAAGAGGGGAAAACTCATTTTCCCATTTGCTTCCTCCATCTTTCTGTCCCTCCCCACACACATGGGTAGTTTATCACAGAAGTCATAGTCGTCAAAAGCCAGGGGATTTATACAGATGCTGCTTTCTGCCAAGAAAGATGGAAATTTCAGGAGGCAAAATCAGGACCAGTGGCAACTTACTTCTTTGTAGGCAAATAAGGTTGTAAGCCTTGATGACGGAAGTTTAAAATGGCTTTTGTGGCCATCATCAGATTTCTTTACTCCTTTTGTACTTTGAAGTAATAGATAGATGGCAGAAGCACCATGAACATTAGTTTCCTGTATTTTTCTCCAGTTTTCTGTTTGGTTGGAATCCTATGCCTCATCTTTTTTGTGTGAAGATTTCATTCACATTCTTCCCATTGAGGTCTTCCTTGACCATCCTGTTTCAAACTTTTCCCTATATTGTTTGCCATATATCTCATTTCCTTCATTCATTTTTCTCCATAGTATATCACTGTCTAGTATACTATATACGTAGGTTGCTTATTGTATTATATATCTCTTACTACTCTAATGTAAATGTCATGAAGGCAGAGATAATTCTGTTTTCCCAGCCATTTCCCCAGTGCCTAGAATAGTGCCTGGCACATAGTAGGGTGCTCAGTGAACTTGTTGAATACCTAAACATATGTCTCCCTTTTGTATGTTTTCAGTGCTCTAGAACAGATTCTTGTATATTTATGGTTTTGTTTTTAATCTGTGATGTTTTTTGTTTACATTATGTAGCCTTACCAAGAAGCTATTCTTCAAGCCAGAGAGAAATTAGTTAGCTATGTAAACTTTATTCAGGAATTAAGCTGTAATGGTTCAGTTAGAAAATGAGAATGAAAGGAAAAAGCAGAGTGCTTGAGAGCATGGGCTGCCCGAGCTCAACTTCAGCATCTACCATTTATTAGCCTCAGTTAGGGCTGTGTGGACTTCAGTTTCTTCCTTTATGAAGTGGGACTGATGGTTGTAATAACCTCATAAGGTTATTGTAAGGATTAAATGAGTGAACTCTTGTGCAGTACTTTGCATAGTGGTGCCTGTCACTGAAGAAATGCTGTCATCAGTGTTCTTGGTGTTGGTAGGAAAAGTGTTTCTTGGAGGTTGTGAGGTAGCTTTATGTGGCTGGTATTATCCAGAAGGGAAGAAAACAAGCACTTTTCCCTTAGGTGATTTGAATTGAGGTAGGAGTTTAACCTTTTGTCCTTACCTTGCATGAGGAGGGAGTAGCTTGTTTCTTTCTTTCTTATTTTTACTGAAAATGTGCCAACCAAACTGAAAGATCTAGAATTCTTAACTTTTTTGAAGGGACAAGGTGCTTTCAAATACTGTATTTTAACTTTTAAATATTAGGTTAAGTGGTATAATTTTATGTTTCTTCAGTGGCTGTCTTTTGACATCACATACATTTCTTTTAATGGAAAAATTATATTTCATGATGTTCTATAAATATTAAAACCAAACTATTTAAACTGTAATATATTCAAAGAGCCTTGATGAATATTCATCTTTTCCGTTTGCAAAAAAAAATGCATTATAAGAAGTCAAGGAAAATTCACTAAATGTATGCAAAAGTGTATTTTTCCTTTTTAGTTCATTCAGAATGTGGAGACATAATGTCAGCATTTATTTAGGATACAGACTTTATTTGCAGTCATTTAATATTATATCAATACTTCATTAGCCTTATAGCTCAAAAACAGAAACCTGATCCGAAGTCCAATTAGTTAACTCTGAGAGAGTATCTGTTAAATATTGATGTTGGAACAATTTGAATGACCTTGAATAAATGGCTTAACAAAGGTTGTGAAATTCATCTATGAATTAACATTTCTGTATTGCCATTGTGACTCAATTTAAAGGCTGCATAATATTCCAATATATCGATTTATCATAATTTATTAAACTATTTCCCCCTTTAGGTTATTTTCAAGTTTTTCCTACTGCAAATAATGGTGATGAGTAGATTTTAAATAAGCCCTTATTTGCCTCTAATGATTACATCAGGTAGATTCTTGTAGTGGGATTATTGGGACAAAGAATATGAGCATTGTTGAGGTTCTCCATAGCTCTTGCTAAGATGTTTCTAGGAATGCCATACAAATTTATCTTTTAGAATGGTAAAGTTCATCTCACTATACCCTGGTCGGCAGTCAATATTGTCATCATTAAAACTTTGCTGGTTTGGTTATAAAATAATTATCCTTTTAAATTTATGCTTTAGTGAAATTGATATGGATATTGGACCTGTTGAAGTCTTACGTTAAAGCCAGTGGATAAAGCAAATGTGAAATTAGGGTTATCTGTGCTGTCTCCTGTAACATCTTTC